GCTTCGTGTGCACCAGTCTGAGGACCCGTGGCCAGAGGACCCGTGGGAGGTGAGAGAACGGCTTCTTGTGACCCGTGGGAGGTGAGAGAACAGCTTTTTCGAGGCTTCCGAGCTTCACAGACTTATATTACGGGTTCCGAAAGCAACGTTAACGGGTCGAAAGCGGAAGGAAGGGCGTGCTTGACGCTGCTTCACAGACTTGTTGTACGGGTTCCGAAAGCAACGTTAGACATTCTGGGGGCGTACGCGGAGGACCTCTTTCGGGCGATTTTTGGTCTCGAATTAGATTGTGGAAAGCTGTGGCTCCGTGTCCGTGGCTGAAAAGTGTCGTGTACCGTGGCTCCGTGTCTTTATCCAAGGCAAGCCGCTCTATTTTTTGAAGTCTGATCTAGATCTTGCTCAGGGAGCAGTGGTGAGGCTGATCTAAGGGATTCGTTGGATGGACAAGGATGTTTGTCCTTGATTTTGAAGCTGGTTAGGCGGCTTGCGCCCTTTTACCAACAAGCTCCACACTGAAATTTTTCAAACACTGCTGAATGTCCAATACAATGATTCCTGTGTGATGGTGTGGCCGAGTCCAGCTTAGGATGATGGACTTTGAGCGAACGCGCTGAAAAGAGCTTGGCACAGCTTGCAACACTGACAATACAATCACCATCAACCACCTGTACATGACATGTTAAGACCCAAATGTTTTTAACTCACACCTCAATGGGGGGAAATCTCCTTTTATATATAAAAGAACAATTGAATTGATCTATTGCGTTGCGTATAGGCGGACTTCTGTCCTGTTTTCCAGCTTCACGGCTGAAATATAGATCCCCGGGGTCGGCGGCAGGGGGGCGGAGCCCTTACAATAAATATACATATGTGTCGCAAGTCTTTTTTGCTGTGTGGCTCTAAAATGGTCGGCCAGCAGTTTCTTGAAATGTCATCACTCGCCATACCGTTCCCTACACATCAAAAGAACAGAACTGCTCTTGCTAAGGCTGCCACATCACCAGCTTCGCCTCCAGCTGTGTCCGCACAAACTCTGTGTCTCACTGCACACCAAATTTTGCCCGTTCGCCGCTGCTGACACGTGCGTCTCATTGCGTGTCGTTGACATGGGTGCCCCTTTGGCCTGGTTTACATGAGCCGCTTGGACTGCGTTCCCAGTCAAATGTGTCAGGCTCTCTAGCATTCGAGATATCAAAAAGCAGAAAAGCAGAAATGCATGCAGCCAAACTTGGCTTTCGCGTATGTTGTTGCCCTTTCATTGCAGCCATACCGTTGACAGAACTACTTGGGTCGAAATCTATTTATCTGGACAGGTGATCTCAGTACGTCTCCTGTGAATGCGGTCCAGTGAAGTAGAATCGGAAGTTGCACAGCAGGTAAGAATGCTTTTGGTCAGTTCCAGAGGCTTTTGGAGCAAGAGCCGCAGTCGTTTAGGCCAATATGAGTGTTTGGAGGGCTACTTTTAGCAGATTTTGATTGACCATGCCTGAAACCTATTCACAGGCAGGCCGCCTGTGGCAGTGCTCCATGTTCTGCTGCCTGCACGCTGCGTGCGGGTGGCTGGCGTTGAAAACTATGAAACACTTGGCGGCTGAAACGCACTGTTTTGGCCGATGGGCGTCTGCGAAACGGCAAAAAACGGCGCACCTGTGGAATACAGAAAGTGACCTTGTCTCCAGGCTGCAATCGAATCTGGCCACATGCGTCTTGCTTGACCAGTACCTGCCAATTTGGCATGGACTCTCCAGCGATTTTCAACCTTCTAATACAGCATTTAAAATATAGCGAAAATATTCTCGAGAAGGGTTTGACATCAACATGTTTGTTATTCCGATGGGTTGTTCAGTTCAAGCTTGTCATATGTAGCAAAATTATTCTCTCGGGGGGTGACATCAAAGGGTTTATTTTTCCACCACCCGATTGCATAGTTTTATGACCCCCCCTCTCAATGTTTTTCAGTGGAAGTTATTCCAAGTACTTGTTCCAGCAAATCACCCCCGTTGGAATACATATTTAGTGGACGGCCCATGGTTTTGTCCGCGCGGACACGTACTGTGGACTCTCTCTCTCTCTCTATTTCTCTCTTTCTCTTACGCGATCTTGCGCTCTCTCCTCTTCCTTGCCTCGCCAGAACCCTGTTGAGATAGCTCTGGGCAAACAGCAAGGCCAGGTGTCCTCAGCTCAAGCGTTACCAGCTCAACCAGGTGTTCGAACGAAATGAATACTTCTGCCATTTCAATGGAACATTGATACACCTCTGAGTTGCAAGCCATGGATTTTCAGGAGAATCCTTGTTCCACCTGCGCGCATTGTTGCCGCTCTTGTCACTGTTGGCAATCTCATAGGAGTCACAGGGTCACACCTTCTGCCATTCCAAAGATACTAAGGCCCTGTCTCTGGAGATCTCACTACGGTTCCCATGTACTTCTGCATGCGACGCACCTGGACAAAAGACCTCTCTCTTCGCCAAGAAAGGAACAAAGAGGGGAACTCGAACAACTCTTGGAAAAAGACACGCGAAGCAAACGGTCGACTCCGTCTAGATGTGGCCTTCACTGCCTGTGGAAACCCTTCCACACTGAGCTTCACCATAAATTGCACCAGGTCCTGGCCACTTCAATTCGGGTGCAAAACAGCACCCCTCACCGGACCGCCACGTCCTCACTGTCGTTCGCGCCTCTTCAGCGAGCCGCGAGAGTGCTGACCGATCCTCCGCCGGCGGGCGAGCCGCAGTCGACTGCGATGCCGGACTGCGAGGGTCGGGCCCCCTTCTCAGCGGCCATCTCGGCCAGCTTGTCGGACACCTCAAAAACACGGAAACGGATGGAAAAGGATTGAAAAAAATGAAAAAGGTACAGGTTGAGGTTCTGCGAAGTTGTTTGGATGTGCCTAAAGTTCCTGGTGGAAAGAAGCAATCCGAAGCGCGAAGCGTTACGATTGATTGAAACATATCTTCCTAAGGTGTTCCTTGGCCCTCGCACTCTCTGCGGATCTTCTCCGGGCTCTAGCCATAAATCTGCCGCAGCCATCTGTGCCTGAAATGGAAGGTTCCAACTCCAAGGAATAATCTGTGAGATTCCATCTCCAATAATCTCCAATCCACAGGCCAAGTATCAGGCATGAACAAAACTCTACAGCAACAGTATTTTTCTCTGACGCTGTTATAAAGGTGCAGCTTGCCAGGTCAGAATAAGTCCGATCTCTCGGACAGCTGTGCTTCCTTCATTCCTATTCTTTCATGGGAGGAAAAGCACTGCACCGAGGAGAAAGGATAAAAAAGGGTGAGACTAGCGCCCACTCGATTCGGCACCTCTCATTTCCTCTCTCTGACTCTCACTATCAATCCCCTCCAAACCGGAGAAGTGATTTGAGCCACTCAAAGGGATGTCCATTGCTCTTCATCTCTCACTCTGAGTTGTCGCTGCACTGGCAGGTCCAACTCCGCCGAGGAAAGCCAAGACATCACCTACAAGTGAACGATTGGCACAACGAGATTTGCACAAAGTAGAATGTGGTGTGGCCCAATCTATCTAGAAATCCGCCCGCACCGAAGGTGCTGAGGAGTATGGTTTTAGCTAGGGTGGGGGATGCCTCTTTCGTTTGGGAACGGTAGTGCATTACCGGCATTGTGAGGTGCGTCGTGGTAGTGGGAGAAAGGACCAAAAACCTAGGAACAATGGATAGTTTGGCAACATTTTTTTTTGGAGGTGTTGTGTTTTATGATCTGGGAGTGCGGGGAGGGCATACGCTTGCAGTGCGAAATTACCCAAACGGTTGAAAGGAGGTGATGCAACTGGTGCAAATGCATTATGGTGTGATGATGAGTAAGATAAGTAGGCAATAGCAGGAAATTGGGTGGGAGAGTGCATGATCGATGCAAGAGATAGACATGGATGGTGCTTGGTTTGGACTTGCACTGAATTGGTGATGGATGCACCCATCAATGTGAGACATAGATGATATATACAATATTACACTATATTGTCACTATATGATAGAATAGAATCCAATTCAGTCGATACACTACATCTGGAATGGTGGTTATCGTCGCGAAGCAGCTTGAATATGTAGTCTTACTGGTCCTTGCTCTTGCCCTTGTTTCTTGGTTGCTGTGTGTTGTAGTATCCACAGGCGCCGCTTTAATCTACTTTGCACTCAGCATCCATCCAGGAGAGTGCCGCAACAAAGGCAAGTGAAAGCAACACGCAAATGAAGCAGTATACTAGACTCCACATGAGTTAAACCACAAAAAGGCTGTAGTAGCAGCAACAGCAGCAACTCCAAGAATTAGTTGTTTCACACAAACCCAAAATCCAACGGAAAAACGTAGGCGACGCAAGCACTTTTGTGTGTTGGCTTTGTTTCTTCTCTGAATCTTTGACCCTAATTGCTAATGGTCAGCTGCACAAAAAGAAGATGGACTGGGATGGCACCCTTTTACCGCAGTGAGACTCAGGAAGAAACTGGACAGTGGAACCGGTCCATAGGTGTCGCACGCAGGGAAAACAGGACTCAGAAGGTAGTACACAAAGTGGAGCATCGTGTCGTACCAACGGTCCCGACTGGATTTCAGCCAAGAACGGCCACATGACCAAGACTCTCCCCCGCCAAGCTGAAGGGCCGCACGGGGCTGAACCAAAATGGCAAGGCATCTTGGCTGATGAAATGTATTCAAGAAACAGAACCTGCTTTCCACAGGCCCCAAGCAAGTTTTAAAAACAAATAAATAACCAAACTCCACTGCAGTTCCCTTTTAAAGTGACTGCGCCAATGTGCCCTCCAACCTCTGGCTGCGACATATGCCGAATGTAGAGATCAAATTCGCCTAAATGCCTCGTTGGCAGTCCAGGCACTGGACATGTCCAAACGCATGAGTTCTGAATTCTAATTAAGTCCCCCTAAGTCTTGCCCAGGTTGCTTGGTCGCATATGGCCAAGCGCAAAGTTTCTCAAAGACCGTCACCAGCACTTCACGCAAGTCAACCACAGGCTTTGCGCCTCAAGGCGAAAGATTGAACCTACCCGACTAAGCGATGGAGTGGCCCAAAAGCACAACGCAGCAATATTGAAAGAGGCGAAGGCCATACATGTTCTGTGTATGACCTAAACCTAGAACAAAGAACCCACATCTACTCCCACCCAAGAAATCATGCAACAGCTTTGTCCACAGGGCACGAAACACTTTCCCGATGATAATTAACACGACAACGATAGTTGCAACTTAACGGCACTGCTAGAGATATGATGACGATGATGATGATGATGGTGAAGATGATGAGGATTATGGTGGTGATGATGATGATGACGATGACGATGACGAGGATGATGATGATAATGTTGATTACAGATGATGATGATGATGATGATGATGATGATGATGATGATGATGAGGGCCATGAGCGCTCAAACTCTTTGATCCACCCGCCTGATGGCACGGTGAACATCTGTGCCCTTGTCTTGCGCTCCCGAGCCTCGAGTTCGTGCAGCACTTGCGCGGCTGGTGATCACCTCCCTGGCTATCTTGCCTCCTGGTTCAGGTCTTCTCCCTGCTGATCTGCCGCTCCTGATCCTGCGCAGCCTGAAGCTGATCTGGCGCTGGTGTACGCGGACTTTTTGAGGGCGGGACTTTGGCTAGTACACCAACAGCTCTACTTTGACCCGTCATTGATCAGAGTGTAGAACTGCATGAGCACTTCTCCAGGCCCCAAACCCCAGGCATTCACTGCTCTACCTGGTCAGTTCATGGCCATGCATGGTACAGAGGGAAGCTATATACTGCTGATCAACTGGGCATCCAACACACCCCAGTGTTTCTCGAGGAAGCTCACAAACCACTTATCAAACAGACCCTCCTCCTTCCAAAACGAGACAGAATCGAATTTTTGCGCTTTCATGGAACATTGACACCCTTGCGGCGGGATATTCTCAGGGGTTGGCTGACCAAGCACCATATTGACTTCATCTGTTTGCAGAACACCAGATCAACCTCAAGTGGAGATTGGCAGGTGGGTTGAGTGGTTCTTCTGGAGAACTCCTCATCACGATAGAGAAGTATGATTGCGCGATGAATCATGTTGCCTGGAGGTCTATCACGCCGGGTAGCTGCAAATGGCAATCACGAATGGAAGATGATCAAGCAAATGTCAGGATCATAGACACCGGCGATCAAGGGTGTCCCATCAGACTGTACATCAACAACCACCTGTCCCGCACTCAGGTGGATCAGCTTCTAACGGAGTGGTCCATGGGCTCCTACGGACTTCACGCCCTCGTGGACTATGCTGACCTCATACGCATTCAGATTGATAGATTCACGGCTGATGGCAGCAAATGCAAGAACAAGCTCACCTGGTCGACTCGAGTCTGCTTGCCTTCGAGGCCATTTGGAGCTGAACTATGCGCCGCACCCAGTTGTTGCTCCGGCGGGTCACTACCGCACAGCCATCAAGGAGGGTGACTCATGCTGGCTTTGCGACGATCACCAACATCCTTCACGGCTATATCATCTACCGGATATCATTCTGATGAATGCCTGCGTGCTTTGGCTGGCTTGTGGGCCTCACGGTGGGGCGCAACTCATCACATTTGATGATGACCAGCTGGAAGATCAGCAACCTCTACCCACCTTGGAGCAGATGATGGCCAACAAAACAGCAGATCCTGGCTCTGCAGCGTGCAAAGGAGAATAAGAGATTGGCATCGACCTCATCGACTCAAATCTACTACGGCGGCATCCTGACCCATACCACCGGCTCTCAACTAGATGCATAGCTTGCAATGAGACGCCCAAGAACATCCTGGCGCACTTGCAGCGTCACCTTGCGCGCGTCATCCCCTTTTCTCCACCAGGGACGACACGAATTTTGATGACCACGCATGTCCTGCGTACCGCCAACTGGCGACGCTTCACCTGATTTGGCGGCAACAGCAAAGCTCACAAGCTAAAAGCCTGACCCTTGGTGAGCTGCTGAATGCGTGGGCCTAAGATGCCTCAGCAAATAGAGAGGGACTGGACTACCTCAGTCACGGTCCACGCGAGTCACGCGAATCTTCAGACAGAAGAGCATTGAGAAAGAAGAAACGATGATGATGATGATGATGACGACGACGACGATGATGATGGTGATGACGCTGATGATGATGATGATGAGGATGATGAGGGCCATGAGCGGCTCACGCTGCACTGCCCACGTTGCTGCGCCACGCCATGGGCAACCCAAAGGTGATCGACCAGGACCCTGAAAGAATCGATTACAGGCACTTTACTGGCCTACTTGGTTGGCTCAGAGGACGAAATTTCTTCAGCGCCTTGAATTGCTCCTTGGCACGGACTGGCACTTTTCGACTGGGCACTGTTTCGTTTTTCGTTGGTCGCTATGATGTTTATTGACTTACATCCGCAGCTCCTCGATCTCCTGGCAACGATTGAGTAGAAGAAGAGTTGCCAGAACATCAGCTTGGCCGCAAGCTGAGGGAGTCCCTAGACCCAGCTTGTCAAAGGACGAGGTTATGTGGTAGTGGACCTTCAACTATGAGCTCCTCTCTGGCCCCCTCTATTGCCACTCGCAGAGGCGTCTGCACCACACGCGGCTTGAGCTTCACACGTCATGAACTACACACGCGGGGCATGGTGGCAGAAAAACGGAACCGCATTGTATACTGCGCGTACTGGGCAATCCATTGTAAGATGGTCCAGTTTGGCATATCACATTAGCAGCTTTTCCTGCTGTCTTCGATGAATCCAAGGCTCTGTGGCTTTTCACGTGAGCAGAGATCATCCTGAGGCCAATGGGCGCGTCACTGAGGTCCGTCCTTCCCAATGACCAGAGTCAGAGTACATCATCTACCAGAAGAGGTCCTCCAGAACGTATGTGTCGTTTGGCTGGCTTGCGATCCACATGGAGGAGGCAGGATCGTTGGTCGGCGCAAAGACGGACGATCCAGAAGACCCCACAACCCTCTATGGACAGAAAACAGAGCGGCACATGGCCATGGATCTGACGGACGCGCGAATCTTGGCACAGCATGGGGATCTATGAACCCACTCATAGGACATCCTGGAGAGACACAGACTTCTTGAAGAAGTCAAAGGCATGTGCTGCGATTAGGAATGCTGCTTTGGCGCGTGGGCCTGAACGGCTCCTCGCGAGCAGTGGAGCGGACCGGAAAGACAAAATGTCGAGGTCTATGCTGATCTTGTGGAACCGTACCACCTGTAAACACGAAAGTCTCCAGAATAGATGTTTCGCGCCTTGGGCTTCCAACCAAAATTGCGATGAGGCGCCCAGAATTTTTGAGCGTTTCATTTGTTCCAAGCGCTTGGATTCATGTGAGTCACACAGCACAAGAGCATTTTGTGTGAGCCCGTCATTTTTCAAAAGGACTGCGGAACGCGTGCCTGCACATGAAGCTGACTTGATCAGATTCGCGCTGGTTCACGCATATGAAGCCCCGAAGGGATTACGTTTCGGGTCTGACATGGACAAAACTGAGAGGGCTGAATGAAAAGTGCTGCTAATCTGGACCGCTGCGCCGCTGAGAAGGAAAAATGCACTATATAGAAAAACATGTGCTTTTTTGCTCGTTGCCGGCGCCGGTGCTGGACGCCGGCGCCGGTGGCCAGGCCATTCCCCTTTGGCGTCCGGTTGGCCGGCGCCGGCACGGGTGGCCGGTGTCCGTCTGTCTGTCTCCGTCTGTCTGTCCTATCTATCTATGTGTCTATCAACCTATCTTCAATCTATCTGTCTATCTATCTATCTTTATCTATCTATCTATCTACCCATCTATCTATCTATCTATCTACCTCTCTATCAATCAATCAATCAATCAATCAATCAATCTGTCTATCTATCTGTCTATCTATCTATCTATCAAACCTAATCTAACCTAACCTAACCTAACCTGGCCTAATCTCATTTAATATTTATATAATTATCTTTCTTCGTGTCTCTGTTTGTATCTTTTCTGTATCTTGATGAGTCTTAATCTTAATTGTAAATATGCATGTTGCTCTTTTTATCACATGACAGTCCAAATGTATGATCGCTGCTGGGCAGCCGTGCCCGATTGCTCAAGGCAAGTTGGACATTTACGGCTGCCCTGTCGCCGATTCCCGGCTCGCTGGTCCGGTATACTGTGGCCGGCGGCGGGCGCCGGTGGCCGTCGTAGTCGTAGTCGTAGTCGTAGTAGCCGTCGTAGGAGGAGTAGTAGTAGTAGTAGCAGGAGGAGTAGTTGTTGTTGTTGTCGCTGTTGTAGTAAAAATAGTAGTAGCGCTCGTCGTATAAATTGGTTGCTGTTGTGGTGTGTGAAACGTTCTTCAGAAGTCTCTGCTCACTCAGACCATACATCCCAATCCTGAGCCCTGCGGGATTCCGTCTCCAACCTTGTTGCGTGGGCAGTCGACATTGGAGGCTCCTTGCGCCAGCGGAGCAAAAAACATTGAAAGACGGCTTCTCAAGGTATGAGACATGGGGGGTCAACATCGGCGTCCTGCTTGTCTTCTGTCTTTTGCTTGCAGCGCAAAGCTATGTACAGAAGTTTGCGTAAGATTTGCTAGCAACGCGCTGGTATCCATGCGACTGTGGGTGACACGCAGGACGCTAAATGCCGTACCTGGAGCGCTTCCTGAAGAGATCTCTTCGTCGAGGCTTCACGGAAGTCCTGGAGGCAGGAAGACAAGGCGCACACAAACTAATCCAATTACGTTGCAAGCGGCAAAGGGGCAGTGTCGGCTTTCTGGCGCACATCTTTTGTTGTGACCCCAAGGTTCAAGAAACTTTCATCCTGCCTTCCAGTCTTTGTTCCATTGGCCAATCATCACAATAATCGTTGTAGAGAGAGGACCGCACTGCGAAGGCGGAGAGCCACAGCGTCGGCAGGTGACCTATACATGTGAGGGCATGGAAAAACGGACACGTGAGGAAACAGAGCACTGAACAGTGAGCCTGGGCGGGCGCCGGCTTTGGCCTCTTCAAGGGACAGCTGGCCCGAGCCCGCCGCACGATGCGATCCCAGATCGCAGACATGCGGTTCCTCTCACGCAAGCACCGCGGCACCTGTTGGATTTGACAGGTGAGATTTAGAAAACGCAGCCAGATTTGTGGCAAGCTTTGCTACAAAACACACTTAAAGGCCCATAGCTGCTGAAGCCTTCGCCAAGCCATCCGCGTCGCTGTCCGCAGACGGTGGTGTAGGGGGCAGAGTAATGCGTCTCTTCCGCCTGTCTTCACGACGCTTAGCGTTGCACCATGGCACGCGCAGACGGCAGATGTTCAAAGATAACACAGCAAGTGAGACTGCCGTTCTTACAGAGTTTGTGTGTGTAATTTTCTGGTCAATGTGCGCGCGCTCTCCCTACAGAAGCCATGAAGGACACGCAGTAGCCAGACACCATCCTCCCGTTTCTACAGAGCTTGTCAACTTGCATGTTTCGAGGTACAAGTTCCACGTTGAAGCAAGCTGTGTGGTTCCTTTTAACATGCGGTAACCATACGAAGCAGGATGCAGTCGCCATTGTTCTCTAAAGACAAGACATTCCTGCCCTGAAAGGTTGTTCAAGAACGTCGTGTCACCAAGGCTATATCACAAGCCAAGCTAGCATTGTGATACCCAGACCTGCCTTAGGGTCGGACCGCTGTTGGCCGCTGGGGATGGCCTTGCACAGAGCACACAGAGCAGTGGGTTCGCGCCTGCCGTATCTAACCTGATCTATTTATCTATCTATCCAACGATCGATCTATCTATATCAACTTCTATCTATCCAACCTAACTAATCTATCTTTCTATCTAAAATTCTATCTATCTAGCCTGACAAACCTTTCTATCTATCTATCTATCCATAAATAAATACCAATTATATACCTATCATTGTATATCTATCTATCTATCTACCTACCTATCTAACTATCAAGCCTAATCTATAAGCCAACCTAGCCTGGCCTAATCTCATTTAACCTTACTATTGTAATCAAATCTGTCTGTCTTTATCTATCTTTCTTTGTGTATCTGTTCGTATCTTTTCTGTATCTTGCTGAGTCTTAATTGTACATATGCGTTTGCTTTATCGACATGACAGTCCACATGTATGATCGCTGCTGGGCAGCCGTACCCGATTACTCAAGGCGAGTTGACATTTACCGCTGCCCTGTTGCCGATTCCCGGTGCGCGGGTCCGGTATACTGTGGCCGGTGGCCGGTGCCGGTACCGGTGGCGCGCCGGTTGCCGGCGCCGGTGCCGGGCCGGTTGCCGGCGCCGGTTGCCGGAACACAAAAAGAGTGTATCGTGGAGTGGACAAAGTAGATGAAGATGATCGAGATGATGAGGATAATAGGCATGAAGCTGAAGTAGATAAGATGTATTGATGAAGATGGTGGTGATGATGGTGACACTGTCAAAGATGAAGTTGGACCTTGTTCTTTGAGAAGAAACATCCTTTGGGGAACAAGCTCAGTCAGCTACGTGGCCCCCACTTTGCATCGACGCAAATATCAAGGAGTCACCACGTAGGCTTCATCTTCAACATAGCTGTTTTCAGACTCAGGACATGGACAAAGTCCATGCATCCCATCCCATCTCTCACGAAAGAAGGCTTTTGAGTTGGCTAAGTGACTTTGGCTTTCACGACAAAAAAGAACGCACAACGCACGGTAAATCGACGGTTCCTCGGCCCCCCAAAAGTCAAAGAGATCGTGGGCGACTGACGAAATGCGACGAAAGGTCTGCTCGAAAAGGACACAGCTGCAATGGAAAGGGCTTGTACCAACACCCCAGTGACACCATCAGTGATATTTCACGATTTTAACCGCAACCAACGCGGGCTGCATGCGTCTTCATATCTTTGCGCAAGTTCTTTAGACTCCTCTGCAAACGCACCAAAAGGAAAAGAAAGGACCCTTCCCCTTCCAACCTGCTTGCGAGCTGGCCGAGATTGGGGGTGAGATTCGCCTCAAGCCAATGACATGGTGCCATTCAACCAAATCCGGTTGCCACGGAGTTGCAACACAATTGCTTTGGAGTATAGAACGCTTGAGACTTCCTGCCGAGTTGCAAGGCAATGAGCAGAGTTTTGGCAACATGCCAGTCAGGATCCTAGCTCATATCTCGAAAGTGAGTCAAACATGGACACTGCCACGGACAGCTCAAGCTATGGCTGCCGAAAGTAAGACGCGACATAAGTCCTTGAAAGAAACCCAGACCTCAGGGTCCAAGAAGCATGGACATAAGCCGGTGAAAACGGTAACTTGATTTGCCTTTGTTCTTCTGTATTTATATATATATATATTATATATATATATATATCAACAAACTTGATTCAAGCTTCGATTCTATCACAGTGCTGACGAAGAGCTGGCCATGGTCTTGTTCGCAAGTGGCAAGTGCGCACACTTTCCAAAGTCTCAGCAATGCCTGTACAGCGCAGCAAAAAACATCAGGTCCAGTCAGTGTCCAACTTCTACCTTTGCCGCCTTGTAAATGTCTTCTGCACCACAACAGCCACTGGCTCATGATGGCATCACTCGCAGCCATAACGTCAATTTGCAAGAAGTGCAGGTAGCCTGAAGTCGAAGAATTGCGACAATGTCGGAAATAGGCTAGCCTTCAACTTGCATCACAAACGTTGTGACTGTTATGATTGTGCATGAAAGAGTTTGTACACGCCTTTTGCACCCGAAGTAAAGTCCACACTTTGCCAAGCACAAAAATATTACATCAATGTCCATCCGAAGAGTGCAGTAATCCACGAACTCAAAATGTCACTACTTAGCACTCCACAATCTGGCTGAGTCACGTTCCACAAACTTGGAGCTTGCATACACGTCGCTCCATTCAGCCGCACCAGCATGGATCTTAGCACACATCCTTTGGGAATGGATTTGGCTTGAGACGGTTAAACAAAGTCTGGGGCAAAGCATAGCACCTACAACACGTTATAGATGGGTGCGGCACTTGCAAACCGGCCATTCAAAGGTTTGAGAACGTCACGCGAACCCAAAAGAACATATGAAGTCATCTGCACTCCTGTTGCCACGCCGAAACTCCTGGAGACTGCAAGGACGAGTACTCGACTACCCGGAAGATACGACCGAGCGGAAGCGAATAATTGAATACCCGCTGGTCGGTCCTTCTGTAGTTGGTGTGCTGCCGAAGCTGTCAAATTGGGCGTGGCACTCAGACCTTTACCCACTGGGAGGACAACCTGGCTGATCTCCCTCCATCCCTCACAACGTCTCTCATCTTGAATCACAAAGCAGAACCAGCGCCTTGTATCCTGCCCCTTGAGAAATCTCGCCTTCGAAAGCCTGAGCCTGGCACACTCCCACCCAGGTGTAGACACAACCAGTTGTGGACATAGTCTTAGACTTCCTGCCTGACTGTGCGGTTGAATGGAGATCGGCATCTGCACGTCCCACCCTGGCCGCTGGTTTTGATGCACCAGCTTGATGCACCGAAGCTGATCGTTTACCGAGAAAACCGGATGCAACAGCTTCTGGCTACGTAAATCCTTCTGCTGAGGTTTGGGCCACTCATGATCATGAAGAACGATGTGAAGAGTTGCTCCAAAGATCTGGATTGCCTTTAGATATTGCACAGAAGTCTTGACAGGTTTCATGTATGTGGAAAATGCTGCGCAAATAAAACAAATATATATATATACTGTATATATCTAGAGTTTGAGTAGTTCCTTACTCCTATATGGGAACATCAAACATCCAAAACATGGCCCGTCCCTATCAAAACATGTTTGAGGTTCTACAGATCCTAGCGCGTCGCCGCAACACCCAGAGGACACCCAGGGACCCAGGGCAGTGGCAATTTTCTTCCAACGCAAGAAGATTGTAAGCATCCCCGGTTCAAGGTTGTTTCCGGTCGCAAAACGGCATCAGCATGGGACTGAGCAAGTCCATTTGAAGCCACTGAAGGGGGCCAGTCATGTCTTTACACTGGAACCTCGCTGAACCTGTGCTGGTTTAGCGGTGTTGCTCGGGCTACGGGGTTCCCCCCGAGGCATCCGCGCGTAAAAACGATAAAATGCGAAGTTGTTCTACTTTTACCGTTTTTACCGGGCCTCGTCTTCTATCAAATCCGCAGTAAAAACAAATGCGCCGTGTTGCAGGCATCATCGCCCTCTCATGGGGCGGTTTGACCCGGATCGGAGAATCCGTGAATGCGTTCAGGCGGGATCTGGACCTCCCGTCCGATGTAAACTACACCACAGAGTATGTGCTCCTGCAAATAGCTGAACCCAAGACACGGTTCAGGTGCGCCCACCACCAGATGGTCAAGGTTGTGGGAGACAAGGGGAGACAAGGAGAGACAAAGGCAAGTGATCCCAGCCCAGCATCCAGACACGCCTTGGGAGACAAAGGGACAAAGCAAAATCATCTCAGCCCAGCATCCAGACAGAGACAAGGGGAGACAAGGAATGACAAAGCAAAGTGATCCCAGCCCAGCATCCAGACACGCCATGGGAGACAAGGGGAGATGAAGGGAGACAAAGCAAAATCATCTCAGCTCAGCCCAGCATCTAGACACGCCATGGGAGACAAGGGGAGACAAAGGGAGACAAAGCTAAGCAAAGTGGGGAGATGAAGGGAGACAAAGCAAAATCATCTCAGCCCAGCATCCAGACATGCCATGGGAGACAAGGGGACGCAAAGAGAGACAAAGGGAGACAAAGCAAAGTCATCTCAGCCCAGCATCCAGACATGCCATGGGAGACAAGGGGAGAC